GGCGAGCCGGCCCCGCCGATCCCGAAACGGCGCGTATATACAACGCTTGTGTGCACAACGACGACATGCAAACAGCTGGCAGTCTGTCTAAACTATACTCTTACAAGTTCCTTCTATCAAAAGATTTGCATCATGCCCAACGGAAATTGGATCCTTGGAGACCTCTTCACTAAGGAATATGGACATCGCGGCAGTATCCAGAAACTCTGGGAACAACGATGGAAATTTCCCTGCACCAAAGGCGTTTACCCTTTCCACGATGGCAAGTTTGAAGATTTCGAACCAATCTTCAAGCATCTCATCGACAACAACATCAACGATCCTTACGACGATGCATACACCAACGCCTTCTTGCCAACAGCGCAACGCCTAGCGAAGGAAGCCAAAGAGATGGAAAGCAAGGAAAAAGAAGCAGCGAAGAAACTATACCTAAACGCAAACGCCGTATACAGACTCGCTCGATTCCCCTACATCGGCACGGAGCTCAAAAAGAAGGTCTTCGAAGAGCAAAAAGAAGTCTACTTCCGTGGCGCTCAACTCTGGGACATTCCCCTGGAAGAAGTCGTGATACCCCACAAACAAGCCTCCAACGGCGACGGCACCTCAATCCCCCTCTACATCCGCAAACCCACCGGCTCCGGCCCCTTCCCCACCGTCCTCCTCATCACCGGCCTAGACGGCCACCGCCCCGACAACACAGAACGCACCCAAGAGCACCTAAACCGCGGCTGGGCAACCGTAATCTGCGACATACCCGGCACGACCGTCGACTGCCCCGCCAACAAGCGCGACCCGCTCTCCCCAGACCGGCTCTTCACCAGCATCCTAGACTGGATCCGCGAAACACCTTATCTGAACGAGAACAAAGTCATCGCATGGGGTCTCTCAGCCGGCGGCTACTACGCCATCCGCCTCGCGCACACGCACTCTTCCCGCCTCCTCGGCAGCGTCGGCCACGGCGCAGGCACCCACCACTACATCGGTTCGGAATGGCTCTCGCAGATCGCCAAGCACGAATACCCGTTCGGTCTCGAGGAAGCGTATATCCAGAAATACGGCTATTCGTCCTTTGACGAAATGAAAGAGAAGTGCCAAGACGAGTTTTCGCTCGTGAGTGGGAAGGGAGAGGGCGTGGCTGTTGTGGGGCAGGGGATGAGTAGTTGTAGGTTGTTGCTTGTGAATGGTGTGTTGGATGGGTGTATGCCGGTTGAGGATAGTATGTTGCTGGCGGAGTATGGGAGTCCGAAGGAGATGCGGTTTATGCAGGGGCGGTTGCATATGGGGTATCCGGAGGCGAATGGCACGGTTTATCCGTGGATGGAGGGGGTTATGGTGGCTGTTTAGGTGGGATGCGCTGAGTGAAATAGACACTAGCAAGAGACAAGAGCCTCTAGAAGTATGACAAACACTTCCTAGTATGCTGACGTTCAATATTGTGATTGCGTGATCGCTTTTTGCTATCATATCATCACATTGCGTACATCCTCGTTTACAGCGCCACGGTTAAGAGACTAGATACGCACGAGCACTCGTTAAATGTGTATATGCAGCTCTATGAGATCATCCAATTCTCCTATCGTATAGCCACCAGAGAGATCGAAATGCGAATTCCAGGCGGCTCTCCCCTTGCGGCTTCGTGAGTTTCTGTAGCTGCATCCTCCTCGCTCCAAAGACTAAAGTAACATCCAATTAATGTCTACTATTGTGGGCTTGTCCAAACTCGTGCGCAAGAAACATCCCAGTCGTGACCTGGAGGTGTCGCTGAGGCCGATACTTGTCAGCCTATCTTCGGAGATCGACAATATACATTCGATGAGCCCCACAGGATTGCCCGAGTGGCCCAAGTATAGGTTCTCCAGCTTTACTACAGGCGTTTCTTGCTGCAAGATACAGATGATCCGTGAGTCTGCCTGTCCCCGGTACTTGAGCCTGAGATCGTCCGAGACGTCTGCGCAGTGATAGAACATTTGGGTAAGGAGGAAGTATGGTGTACCGTCGGGGTGAAGGGGCGGTAGCTGCAGTTCCACCTGTCGAAGCAGGCTGAAGCCTACGTCCTCTCCTTGTCTAGCTCGATCGAGGGTCAGGGTCACTATGGTCCCAAATGCTGCATGTTTCTCAAAAAGAGAGACTCGCAGTGAAGTAGCGACAAGTCCCCCGCCTCGAATGATCTCTCGAGCGAGTGCAATGGCATTTTTGATGTAATAGTTGTGGATAGCGAGAGTGTCAAGAGACAAATGACGTTCCTCGAGTATAGTCTGGAGTTTGGCAATGACGGTCTTGTCGACCCACAGGACGCGCGCTTGTTTGCGCGACCAGAGGCGGTGCGTCGGATTTAGTCGCTCTGGCTCTTCTCCACCCCGAGGCTTCTCTTGGTAGTCCTGAACTCGGATGGTTTTGACGTATTTCGCTAGTCGCCCACCTCGAGAGATGCTTTCGAGTCTTCTGATATCCGATTTCTTGAGGTTGGTCTGCAATATGGAGAAAAGGCGCTCGCCGACTACGCGTAATGTCTTCGTGTCTGCATGTCTACACGTCAAGCGGAAAGACTGGAGGTCGGCGTCGCTCACGTACGCTGCGATGGTCTCGACGAGCTCGGTGGGCATGTCGTGAAATGTGAGGGAAGGCATGTTCGCGAACGGTGAGACAAGCGTGTAAAATGCGCGTCCAGGCCCAAAGGACACGGGGGTGGAGATCGTGATGTGGAGAAAACAGAAGCGGTCAGGATGAAAGGTGTCACATCTAGAGTGTACATGCCAGATATGAAGGAAGCGCGTAGGCAGCGACGACGGGATGCTCGTTTGCTTCTCACAACGCCGCTTCAACGCTGTGCGACATCGCTAACCTTGCAAGGCAGGCACGCTGCATCTTCCCACCCAACAAGACATGTCTAGCAGCGAGAGGACGACCTGGCGAATTAGGTCGCACAGTTATTTTCGATCGACCTGATGTCTTCACGAACAGTGCACGCGCATCGACGAAAATCTATGCACCCATCGATGAGCTATTCACACTTTCCTCAAAGCGTAGAAACAATACGCAACAGAAACCCTGCAATCACCTAGGCGGATACACTCCAAGATTGAACACCCTACAAATATAACATCATCATACGTATGCAACCAGAACACACGTGTTAAAAATATTTTAATCTGATTTTCTCACATTTTCTATCTGCGCCACGCACAGTCCCCCGTCTTATGCCCATAGGCATTCTCATTACAATACCGTCTCGGATCTGTACTCTCAATACAAAACTCACACGGCACAGCATTAGGACTACTCGAGCGCTTCGATCCGCCCTGTCCATAGCCCATGCTACCCTGTTTCTTGATCAGCGCAGCCTGCTTAACCACGTGAATGCATTTCTGCGAATTATGAGTATAGGCCATGTGTCGTGTCAGGGGGTCTTTCTCGCAGTGTTCACAGTGCCACACGCTCACGCGACAATACGGTGCGGTGTGGTGATGTGAATCACATTTCTCACAGAAACGCGTGACGCCGTAGCCGCGACCTTCTTTGATGGCGGTTTGGCCCGCGTCGCGGAGTTGCGCTTTGAGGTCCACGTAATGCAACTTATTGAGCGGGGCTTCGGGTGGAGGACAAAGCATTAGGAAGGCGGCGATCATGGTGCATACGATGTCGTTGCCGGCGTTGTGAAGGTATGGTTCTTTGATGTCGTATTCGGAGAGGAGGTGTGCGAGGCGGATTTTGCGGGACGGGTTTACGAGCCCATGTTCTACGGCCAGCACTTGTGTGTCGATTGTTGCGACGATGGTGCCGATTTCTTCAAGGTCGAGACCAAAGCGCGATTTTATGACTTCGTAGTCATTCGAGACGGCGTGGCCGACGAAGATTATTGGACGTAGATTGCCGTATATGTCTCGGCGAGTGAAAACGCTGCGCAGCATTTCTTTCGCTTCTTTCACGCTGACAAAGGTTGTGCTGCCAAATTGAAAGGCATCCGGGTGCCCTTCGCAGAGGTCTTTGTTGGTGAGATGTGCGTGTGGTTTGATGCGCACGTGGTAGTTCTCCATGCTGGTGAGAATACTCCATGGTGATGAGGAAAATGGTTGTGGCACGGAACGCGGATCGAGAACAGATATTCCGAGTTCCGTGATGAAGTGGTCATCGTGCTCGTACCACTCGGCATCAGAGGCCACGATAATAGCGTCTTGGAGTGCAGCGGCTGCAGCGGCACTGCCAAGCGGAATTTCGCTTCCAGATCTCTTCATCCAATGCTGAAGAATAGCTGACTGCGTGAGACCTTGGTGTAATTCGGCTTCGATCAGAGATTTCAACTCTCTTGGTGAGACTGGGTGAGACATGTCTGACAAAAGTGTATTGTGCGTGAATTCTGACCACCAGGTAGGTATTGAGGTTGGTGCGTAGGAGTATTCGGTAGTCGAAGCGGAGGGAAGAGCAGGAAAGTCTTTCAAATAGGCTGAAACCGCCGTTGTGTAGCCATAGGCGAGATCTGAGTAGTGAATGGCGTTGTAGAGCTGATCCGCTTCGAACTCGGTTGAGGTTTGAATCATGGTAAGAGTCATGATGTCTGAGTTTCGATAGTTGCTGCAATAGTTTAATTGTAGAGTATGATTGGAAACAGTAAGTTAATTGTAGAGATGAGATGAGAGTGGGAAACCAAGCGCAATATATATATACTGGAACTGAAAACGTGATCTTGATGCCTGAAGGCGGCAGACTTTCGGTACCATGGTTGCACACTTTGACCACGGTTCTCGCAACGTATACCACCAATAAGGCATCTATGCTTGTAAGCAGTACCGCGACATTGCGACAATATTTCCAAACATTTCCTACACATTTGTTTGGCTAGTAGTGAGTGGGCGCCGAGCGAGGTGAGTAGCGTGGCACAGCCAACAGGCACACTCCTGACTAACCGTTGCAATGAGAATGACTGGAGGACGGAGCGATGCGATGAATTACTGCAACCAAGGTCCGATTAAATACACAAATTAGAACACGTCGTACCTATAGCGCTAGGCTGCTGTCTGCGACCTCGTGATCTTGACGACGCGCTCCATTCCGAGATCGCGCCATACTGCAGATCCGATTGAAGTAGGCGAAATAGGTTCCTCGACGCCATCCAGTGGTTGTTTGTAGCGCTCGGAGTATTCGTCGTCTCCCACCTCGTAGTCGTCGGTGTCATCGCTAAACTCCAACCCTTCTTGATCCACATCTAGGAAAAACCAGCCGTCGGATTGAGAAAAGCAAGCCTCCCTGAAGAAGTACCTGAGGGTATTTAGATCTTTCATCTTGAGCATATCGCATAAGCTCCGGGAAGCGTTGTAGAGATTGCTCCTCATCTCTTCCTCCGTACTTGGTATCTCAAGGGCCATTGTTCGCAGGTTAGGATAGTGTCCTTTGATCAAGTTTGACATGAACGATCCGCCATTTTCGTCGTCAGTTTGCCAGAGTGCTATCGAAAACACATCATCAATATTTATCAAGCTTTTGGTGATGATCAAACTATGGAGGCTCTTTTTCAAGACCTCTGGTAGGATCTGCAGGAAGAACAAGGTGTCCTCGGTAGTGTTCTCCAGAACTACTTGACTGCGAGACCAAAGGTACTGAAAAGCCTTGGAGGGTTTGATGATCCGATGGTAGTGTATGTTGAAACGCGCAACTTCGTTGTAGTAATTGATCCATCCCCGTTTGTTGGCTTTGAGTACTCTCCCCGCCTCTCTATTAACTTCTTTGGAAACGAGAAGTAGTGGTGTTGACATGAAGATCTTGTACGTAAGCATGACTTCTTGGCTGTCAGAGAAAAGGCCTGGGGGCCCATTAGGGTCATGCCAAAACTCATCGTAAAGCTCGTCTGGAACTGGTAGGTCCTCATCAGCCACTTCCGGTTGGTACATCATATCGAGAATCATCTGCGGGTCTTCTATGGGAGAGTTAGTCCTGACGTGGTGGTTACACCCAAGTCTGCGTACCTTTGCTAGAATCCGTCTCTGGCAGGTCGTAACCCTGGTTTTGTTCCCGTTGATCTTCGCGGTTCGTATGCCGAAAGATCGCTCTTGGCTCAAGCGAATAATCATAGATCATATCGCGAAGTTCTTGCGGTAGGTCATGTAGACGAAAACTGCATGTTGTTAGCTTTAGAAGCGCGATGCGTACGGCGGAGTCCTAACACGTCTAGATGTGCGGCGGCATCACCATGCCCAGACCGCGATGCTTCCGCTGTCTCTTCACGCATGGCTGTTGGTGTGTGTAAAACCGGGCTTCGGTATTGCGCTTGCGAACACAACGGAAGAGGAGCCCCAGCCTCGCGGAAGGAGGGGATGGCACTAGCGCGACGCGTCGAGACGCGTCTCGCGAACGCTCGGACCTCTTCTTGTTCCGTCGCTCGAGCCTTGCGAGTCTTTTCACAAGTAGCATACACGGTCACACAGCTCCAAGAATTGCGCGTACTTTAAAACTTTGAATCTCTGCATGCTTTTGTGTCTTTACTACTTCGGGGATCCAGTATACGCCTGAATTCGTCAAGACCACGACCAACGCCTGGACTGTGTGCTGACGACCAACAAGACGATCGTGAGCCTTGCTAAGATGTATCGCAGCCGCTATACTAGGCTGTTGCCTGCGATCTCGTGAGCTTGACAACACGGCAGGCCCGCAAGTCGCGCCATAGTTGAGACGCCAGTGAGGTAGGGGATATGGGTTCCTCAACCCCAGTCAGTAATGACCGATCCTCCTCTTCTGTCCCTTCATAATCGCATCCCTCTAGTGTTATGTGTCTAAAAAAGATGGAATCTGTCTCCCTACGTGCACATTTGTTGAACTCGTAGTCTTTGTAATAGAATCTTACGGTGTCCAAACGGCCGTTCCTGAGCATCTCGCACAGATAGTCCGAAGCCTCATTCCAATTCATTTCCATGACTTCGCACACGTCTGGTATCTCAATCGCCACCGTCCGTAAGTTGGGAAAATTTTCTGAAATCCAATTTGTAAATAAGGCCCCGCCTCTTGATTGCTCTTTGGTCCACCGCGAGTATGCAATAAGACTTAGGAAATCATAAGGGAGCACCAGTCGGCGAACGCAAGATTTCAGCGAGTCTGGAAGATCTCTCAGGAAGAATATGGACTTGCCGTAGTCGTGCCGGAGGAAGAACTCGCAGCTGGCCCATAAATCGATAAGAGCTGCGCTTGGTGATGTGATGCGGTGTAAATATATTGACGACAACAGAAGTCTCTCATAGTATCTCTTGGTGGTGGTTAGTACCTTCGTCATTTCCTCATTGGTAGCTTTAGACACAGCGAGTAAAGGCGTCGCTATCAAGATCTTGAAGGCCAAGACGGCGGTGTTTCCATCATCACGCGGGCTACCCACGATCGACAAGTTGGGATCCTGCAAGTACTTGTCTCCTTCTAAATCTTCTTCGAAGCTGTCGGATCGATCGTCATCATCTTGCATATCTTCTGTACTTGCGTCAACATCAGGAACGCCGATCTAGCATGTTTCATACCTGGATGCAGCTCGAGATTGGGCAAGTGGTAAGTAGACGGCCGGTATTCGTCGTACAAGCAACTGTGCCAAAGAGTCACCCTCGGCTCTAGCGCATACTCGTAGATATAATTGCGAAGCTCTAGTGGAAGGTCTTGTAATCGGAAGCTAAGTGCTGTCAGTTTCAGTGACGCAGAAGTCAGATATTAAAAGTGCGTACATTTCCAGATGTGCGGAAGCTTCACCGCGGGAAGTTGGCAGTTCAGTAGTCGACATTTGAGACTTTGCCGTAGTGGTCAAGGCTTTTCCATATGAATCGGAAGATGATGGCTAGTGCTGTGTTGATGTAAGAGGAGTCCGAGGGCTCTACCTGGGTGTTGAGGGGCATTTTAAGGCGACGCGCTAGGACGCGTTTCAGAATGATGCGACAACTCCTCTGTGTGTCGCAACGATTACTGACACCCTTAGCGTTTTGGAGAAAACAAACCCTTCCCTTATCTAGTGAAATTCTTACTCGAACAGTATGGCAGGTAGATGCAAAGGGGTTGATTGGACTGCATATCAATGCCAAGAGTGTCGTGGACAAGTGCGATGTGGGCGACTCAGTGGTCATCTATTCAGTTTTACATCACGAGAACGCAGCGGAACGAATTATTTGAAGTGAATGTTTGGCATTAAAGTAAGTAAACTAGCCATGACCAGTAGCCGACGCATCCAGCGAGCGGCACATCACACATGTCTAGCGTCCTAGACGCGGTAACCAATAGGTTTGAGGGGTATATCGTTGTACGGTGGTTCGATAAGCGAACCACAACATCATGCATCAACACATCTAGACGTAAACCGCTTACATCTTCTCCTGGGCGACAAGGCTAGCGCGCCTCTCCTCGTTGACGCTCTGGCGCCTCTCGATGTCAGCAGCCTGACCCTCCGTGCCGAGGTGACCGGTGGGCAGCAAGTTGAGCGCGTCTTCGTTCTTGTCCATGGTGCGGTAGAAGAAATAGAAAGCAATTCCAGTGACGAAAGAGATGATGGCTACACTTCCGTAGTTCCAGACGATGTGGGGATCGGCGGTCAACGGAGTGAAAGCCTGGGCGAGGGCGGCGGAGAAAGCGTTGGTGAAGAGCCCGACAGACTGGACGAGCGACCTCATGTTCTTGGGCGCTTTGGTGAAAGCGTACTCGAGAGTGGTGACAGAAGCGAAGATCTCGGAGATGGCAATAAGAACGTAGACACCGGTGACGGACCAGACGGTGAAGGAGGCCTTGTATTCGGGGTCGTGGGTCTCGTAGTAGCCGGAGTCCTTGTAGATGAAGTGCTGGAGAACCGCAGCCCAGACCATTGCAAAGGCTCCGAGGATGAAACCCGCGGTGATCTTCTTGATGGGTGTGAAGCGGATACCTCGCTTTCGGAGGAAGGGGTAGACAAGTGAATCCATGATTGGCACCTAGAGCTCGATTAGCATTGATTCCGGGACTGGGATCTTGGGAGAAACTCACAATAATAATGATAGCGATAGGGTCCAAGTTAGACAGGATGTCGTTGGGGACACCGCCGAGCTGCATCGTGGCACACATCTGGGTCAAGTTGGAGTCCATCTGACGGTATGCAAGCCAGAAAATGGGGATCCAGAAGAAGACGGAGCAGGCAGCAAAACCACGACGAACCTCATCAACCCAGGCGTCATCGAAGTTGTACCATTTTGGTGCGGCAGAGCCAAGGACGGAAGGCTTGACAGCAGTCCACATGCTTCCGTCGTTCCAGTTCTTGTAGGTCTTGACGGGGTTAATACTCATTCCGCGTCCAAGAGCCTTGAAGAGAAGCTTGAAAGCAGGGCCCATGACGTTACCGCTCGGTGGACGGAGAATGTAGAACTTCTTGCAGAAGATGAGGACGGGAACAGCGATGATGAACATGATGGTTGGGATCAGGTAAGCGAGCCAGAAACCGACGTATCGCTCAGCGTAGACCATGCTGATTTGACCAATGAGGGCACCGATGTTGATGAAGAAGTAGAACCAGTTGTAAATACGGGTGACAGTGACGGCGGGGTCAACAATGACGCGCTCGGTACCGCGTGTCTCAACGCGCATCTTCTCCTGGGGAACTTGTTCGGCGATAAGAGGGGCAATGTTGGGCTTGAAAGTTCCAGTTCCGAGACCCATGATGATGAGTCCAAGAATGAAAACACCAAGGGCGGCGTTGGAGTTGGCCAAGACAGAGGGCGCAGCAGAGGCAACGAGGATCAAGTGACCGATTTCAGCAACCAAGACAGAGTATAGAATAGTCTTGAAGCGACCGAGGTAGGTGTCGGCAATCCAGGCTCCGAAAAGAGGGCAGACGTAAACCCAGAAAGCGTTGAATGTAGTCAGACTGAAAGCAACCTGCTTGCCCATGTTGAGGGCACCGGGCTGAGCGTTCTCATCATCAGGGTTGAGCGCGGCTCCAGTGGGCGTAGTGAGCGGCTTGGCGATGTAGTTGGAGTATACGGCAACGGTTCCGTAGTAACTCATACGCTCGACAAGTTCAACGAAAGCGATCTGAAGTCAAGTCAGTGTTTGTCTCACGTGCTCTATGAGTGCGATTGCGTACGGTGAAGATCTTCCATGGGATCCTAGCGGGCACACGGCGAAGCGTGGCGAGCTCCTCCTCGGTGGGAAAGTCATCAGCCTCGTTGAGGTAGCTGTCCTGGAGCGTGGCCTTGCCCTCGGAGTGGAGGTAGGCGGGCGCAGAGGTTGTGTGCATCTCGGGGTGCTTGCGCGTGGGGTCGCCAGAAGCGTCAATAAGAGCGGGGTCCAAGCCGACAGCTTGCTGCAAGGGTTGTTAGCAAGTATGCAATGGAGCTTGAGAAGAGTATACTCACGACTTCGCCGGCGTCACCAACAGGCATAATGGGCGTGCACCTAGGTCGTTTGACAATGAAGGTGGACCGTGGTTGAGTGACTGGGAAAGCAGCCAGGTGATTGTTTATGGGGTGCGGCGAGGAGAAGAGAGACCCTGACGAGCAAAGAGAATGGGGTGGTGGTGCATTTAATTTGAGCACGCGAATCACGGGTCCGACGTCGTGCTCTACAGCTTCAGGCCCGATAAGGAAGGCGCGCACACCGACACAGGGATAGGCACCGTATCGACTCCTTCACGACTGTCTGTCCATCAGCAAACGCATTGCCACCGCGGCTGTTGTGCCCGGAAAGGCATTCGGCGCGTGCGCGATAGGTGCTGCACGATGCTCTTTTCGCACCGCATCGCCGAGGCGTCCTGGGCTACTCAAGCCTCGCCAAGTTGCTAACCACCACTGGCAAGCAGCGAGACAAGAAGAGCTTGCTGGTTCCAAGATAACAATTACCTGTGGCGCCCCAGTCGCATGCCATCGACTAACCTCCTGCCTAAAGCAGGTGGTCGCGGGGTAGCGATAGTCGTCCCCAAGAAATGCCCAGAGCCACTAGCTCGCGCCTCCAACGACTCTGGTCTTGGTGGCCCAGCCCATGGCCCATGCATTCCTCAGTCGCGGTATCAGCGACCTTGCTCTTTCTGACTGCAAACGCGGTTATCTGCGGGCGATAGCGTTGGTATAGCGTCGATACAAACGTTCTGGAAGACG